TAGAGTAATAAATATTTGGACAATTAGCATTTAGGACAATACAAGGCAATAAGAACAAAGAGTTACGGACAGTCCGGGTACCTCTTTCTGGGCAGAATAAGCCCAAAAAAAGGACACACCTTAACAGAGGATTAACCCTTTAAAGCAACAGCCTGTTGCATATTCATAAATCTCATACATGATGCATACATTCCATTCAAAGAAAGGATTCTGTCTGGTCAGTGTCAACTTCTTCCTATTAATCCTAATGGCATCTTCAGGGCTGAGCAAGGCGGGATGAAGTTAGTTTCTTCTGATCATGGAGCAATAAATTCTCTTTCTCTGAAAGATTTAGGTGCCCTGTGGCTGCTATTTCGGTGCGAGTACCTCATTCCTTTCTTTAAAAAAATACCCCACATGCACAGTTTCTTTTTTAACATTATGTTATAACCTAGAACTATATTTAACACACTACTTAAAAAAATTAATACAGCATTAACTTTCTAAACATGACACATGTAACATCAATTTTAATATTTGTGAAAAGCTAATCATTAAATATGCATCTTCCACAGCTGGCTAAAAATATTGCAACCACAAGCCAGAAGTTGTCAGGAGAGTGCCCCATGAAAGAAAGATGGAAATTTTTTGAACAAGAATGTGAAACTAACTTAGAGCATGCATTCAAGGAGAAAGAAGTGCAATTGAAAAGACAAAGGGGTAGAGAGGGACAAATATATGGCAAGAATCTTTCTATTCATATGGTGGAAAAGTTTATGAATGAATTTAATTTGACTGATTGGTGGGTGGGTGGGGGGACACACTTAAGTGAAATTTGGCCATTGGATGGTATCAGTTTAGGTCCTCCAGACATTTTAAAATGGATCAGAGCAAGAAAAAGCATGGTAGTACCCAAAAGAAGGGAAGCAGAGTGAAGGGTAAAATCAACAATAATAATGGAAGAGTGTTTATGAAGAAAAGGGAAAATGCATACTACAGAAGTAGGAGAAGCTCCATGTAAAAGGTATGTGGCAGGAAATGACACACACACCAGGTGTATCCCAGAAATCCCCCATTCATATTGGTCAATAGAAAAAACTGAAAGTTTTTTTATATACTGCGAAAAGGAAAACAATGTTTGAATGCTTAGAAGATTATATCAACGCATTCTGGGTAATAGAAACCTTATCCTAATATTTGAAACATATAACAAATTGAGATTCTAATTTCTGGGATGCACCTAAAAATCTATTTTGGATCTGTGGTGACACAGCATTTGTGAAGTTACCAGGAGGGTGGAGTGGGAGTTGCACAATTGGAGCAATAAAACCATCCTTTTCCTTGCTGCCTGAGGATGCAAAATCAAACTTGGAAGTCCCAGTAGATGATGATCTGGCCAGAAAGAAAAGGTGTTTAATTGGCAGAACCCAAAATTGGAGCAATGATATTTGGACCCCAGAAAGGATTATTGATACTTATGGGCTGGCTGCCTGGGCCCAGGATGGATCCTGGGGCTACAGAACCCCAGAATCCATGCTCAATGGAATCATCCATCTACAAGCAGTACTTGAAATCATGTCCAATCCAACAGCTCTGACCATCGATCTCTTAAACAAGCAGCAAAAACAAACACGATCAGTGATTTGCCAGATGTGATTGGCAGTACATTACCTCCTTGCAGAAGAAGGAGGGATTGATCTGTGGGAAATTTAATACTTCAGAATGCTGCCTAGAGATGGATGACCACAGTCACGTAATTAAAAACACTACTCAAAACTAACCTGTGTTGGAGCACAAAAATGGACCACTCTGTTTCGAAACTCTGATTGGTGGGACAACTTGTTCACCTGGAATGGTAAATGGTGGAAGGAATTGGTCTTCTTTGTGGTGTGTGCACTAGCAAGTGTAATATTACTGCCATGTGCAATTCCATGTCCAGTCCGGATAGTGACCAGCATTGTCCACAGCAGCATCGTGCTGCAAGGGAACGTGGGAGGGAAAAATGCTGAAAAAGTCATGTTAATGAAAGAACAGAGTGAAGCCAGAGATATGCTTGAAGAGTACTAGAAATTGAGAAAAGTAGAAGTTGAACCTTAAAAAGTTGATGCAGGTTTGAAGCCTGATGAAATAGTTAGAGGGGGAGTTGTTAAAAATAAGTATGAAACTGTTGTAAAATACTTGATAGATCATTAATTATGTACTGTTATTTTGGTTATTATAGTGTAAAAGTGGTTAAAATGGTCGTTATAAGAAATATGGTACTCAATGTACCATATTACACCTCAGTAAAGTGCAGCACCCCCAAGGGAAAGGAGCCAGCCAGGACAGAGCTGAAATGGGCCAATCAAGCGCCTTAAACCTTCATGCAGATGAAGGATCCAAAAAGAAACCAATCCAAAGGGACAAAAAGCAGGATCAAAAGGGGCTTCTGACGCACTGAATTTGTGCCGCTCCATCTGGGACATCAGGGACATCACTGCTGAAGCAAGCCCAGCGCTGCCGTTGCAGCATCCTCGATGGGAACGCTCCAGCTCGGCCCGTGGGCCCACTTGCTTTAGGCCTTTCTTTTTCTTATAATAAATGCTGAAATCACTTTTAGTATCAGGAGTCTGCTCTCCTGTTTTACAACATGAAATTCAGGGCACATGAACAGATCTATTCCTGGGGCACACGAAGTTCAGGATTCCCAGAGCACACAAACAGATAAATTCCTCAGGTACACGAAGTTCAGGATTCCCAGGGCATACAAAATTCAGGATTTGCGGGGCACATGGAATTCAGTATTCCTGGAGCACACACGTTTCAGGACTCCCACAGCACAGGAAGTTCAGGATTCTAGGGGCACACGAAGTTTGGGATTCCCGAGGCACACAAAGTTCAGGATTCCCAGGGCACACGAGCAGATGGTGATCGGTCCCTCAGGGCCAATTCCAGTGGTGGCAGTGAATTCTCCTGGCAATAAGTGGCTGCCTGACCGTCCTCCTCCGATGCCAAAGAGCGAGAGAGAGAGGCTGCCCCCAACCCCTGCGCCCCATTCTCCCGGTATCTCTGTCCCCCAGAGAGGAACTCCCAAAACCCAGAGGATTTCCCCCTCCCCGCCTTCTCAAGAACTCAGCCAGCAGCGCCTCTCAGCAATTCAAAAGAAATAAAATCCACAAGTAACAAGGAAAGAACAGGAAAAAACCCAACCCCCAACAAGGCGGTGCTGGCTGCGGTTTTTGGGGATTCCAGCAACACCTGGGGCGGGGTCAGTGCTCAGCAGCAGGGGCCCTCGCAAACCACAGCTGGGTGTGAAAAACAAAGTTCACTCTTTGGAAATTGTAAAAGATTAATGAGGGATATAAAAGGATTTTGGCAGACGGCCAAACAAGTTTCCTTAACTTAACCCGTTGTTCTCCAGATCGGGTTCCACTGCAGGGCTACAAACACATTCCTGAGTTTAGACATTATTCAAACATTCCCGGGAGGTTTTGATGTTCCAGGAACTCTTGTTTGGTTTTAACCTCTGACTTGTCTGCAGGACATTCTGTAGATAAGGTCAATAAATTTGATTTCTTCTCCTGGTTCCTTCCTATTGTTTCACATCCCCTGACAAATTCATAAATTCTTCGCAAGTTTATTTCGCTGTTATCATCACCTGGAGAGGCCGGTCTGCAGGTGTGAGAAAAAACAGAATTCTTTTACACCTGAGTCAGTTACACAAAAGCATTTTAATATTGCATAGTCGCTATTTTAACATTTATTATTTTTCTATTTGCTATTTGTCTATTTTTAATGCGTTAAGGCCTATGATATAATATCAGTTTGTTACTCCAGCATTTAATCAACTAAATTGTGCATAGATAAACTGATGGATTATATTGTACCAGTGAGCAGCTGCAAGGAATTATCAATAATCAGTAATCAAGTACCAGAGCAAAATACTTGTGAAACTATTTTTTTTTGCAGCAGCCAATGCAGAATTGCAGAAACCAATTATTAAATTGTCATTTATGACCCAGCTCTGCTGCAGGCACAGTGGAAAGCTGGAAGCTGCTGAGGGGACTCAGTCACTTCTGTCCCCTGTCCCTGAGTGTCCCCAGAGTGTCTCTGAGTGTCCTCCCTGATTTTTCCTGAGTGTCTTCCCTGAGTGTCCCCAGCCTGTCCCTGCATGCCCCTGAGTGTCCCCACAGTGTCCCTGAGTGTCCCAGAGGGTCCTCCCCGCGTGTCCCTGAGTGTCCCCAGTGAGGTCACCCCAGGAATATCCCATCAGGATTTGTGACAGTATCTATGAAAATTCCCAGAAAATTCCCCAGATTTGTCTCAAGTCCCTGTGGGGATGGGAGAAGGGAGAGTTGACAGCAGCGATGTCCCCAATCATGTCACTGCCATGATGACATTGCAGTGGTGACGTCACTGTCTTGAAGCAGCTTCAGGACATCCTCAATGGCTTTTTGGCACCGCTCGGCCACTGCGTGGCTGCCGGGGCCACCGGGGCCACCTGGGCCATCATAAGGACTCAAGAGGAGGTTGTAGAGTCCCCAAGTGTCCCCAGCAGGTGACACGTGAACAGGCAGGCTCTGGCATCCCACAGCTGCTCGGCCTTGGCCACCAAGTGCTCAGGGTCATCGGGGAACGCCTCGTGTGCCCACTTCAGGGTGGTCTCAATGTCCTCAAGCCTGCACTTCATGTAACTGATGGCTCTGTCACACACGTCCTCCAAGCACTCCAGCACCCCCAGGGCCACCTCTATCCAGTGTCCCCTCCTGATGGTCACCCTTTCCTGGCTGGTGGCCACCATGGCCTCTGCCACGGCCTCGCTGGTGGGCGCTGCCACCTGGGCATCGCGCGTGGCCCCCACTGAGGCCTCCTCATCCCTGTCCAGGGCTGTGGTGATCAGATTGCCACCAGCTGTCCCCCTGTGGGTGGCCTCATCCTGCTGATCCCTGGCCTGGGCGATGGCCACGGTGGTGGCCGTGTCCTCGCAGGTGTCACGGAGCCCGATGGCCTCCTGAACCAGCCATTCCCAGCTCTTCTCGAGCATGGCCACCAACTCCTGCCAGGCCTTATCTGTGGCTCTCACATCGGCCCAGGTAGCCCCCAGGGTGGCCCTGAGGGTGGCCAGGGAGGTGACATTAGGGTGGCCCAGGGAGGTGACATTGCCATGGTTCAGGGTCTCACTGAGTCTCCAGGTGAATCTCCCCAGGGTGAGGGCAGGAACTCTGGGGACATGCGCTGCCACACATCCCTGTGTGACCCCGTCACGGTGGCTGCCACCTCACCCAGGGTGGCCATCACGGTGACCTGCCACTCAAGCAGGGGCAGAAACGGCCAGGCCGAGGGAGGGGACATCGAGGTAACTTAGGAAGGTGACACCACGGTGGTTCAGAGCATCCCAGAGGCACCAGGCAAAGCTCCTCAGGGCCATGGGCAGGGACTTCGGGGACACGCGCTGCTGCTCATCCCTCTGTGGCCCGGTCACCATGGCCACCACCGCACCCAGAGTGGCCACCATGGACACCAGAGCCTCCAGCAGCTGGGGAGGGGACAGCTGTGGAGGGGACAGGGAAGATGTCAGGGACCTGGTGACACTTGCAGCCTCCTGTGGCGGCCCCTGTGCCCTCCTGGGGTCCCCTTTGCACCTCCCTGGAGGGCTCTGCTGTCCCCTCTGTCCCTTTGTCACCCCCCGTCCCCTCTGCTTCCCCCTGCCACCCAGCCCCGCTGTCACCTCTGCCACCCTCGGTTCCCTCCACCCCTCTGTCGGTCTCACTGAGTCTCCAGGTGAATCTCCCCAGGGTGAGGGCAGGAACTCTGGGGACATGCGCTGCCACACATCCCTGTGTGACCCTGTCACGGTGGCTGCCACCTCACCCAGGGTGGCCATCACGGTGACCTGCCACTCAAGCAGGGGCAGAAACGGCCAGGCCGAGGGAGGGGACATCGAGGTAACTTAGGAAGGTGACACCACGGTGGTTCAGAGCATCCCAGAGGCACCAGGCAAAGCTCCTCAGGGCCATGGGCAGGGACTTCGGGGACACGCGCTGCTGCTCATCCCTCTGTGGCCCGGTCACCATGGCCACCACCGCACCCAGAGTGGCCACCATGGACACCAGAGCCTCCAGCAGCTGGGGAGGGGACAGCTGTGGAGGGGACAGGGAAGATGTCAGGGACCTGGTGACACTTGCAGCCTCCTGTGGCGGCCCCTGTGCCCTCCTGGGGTCCCCTTTGCACCTCCCTGGAGGGCTCTGCTGTCCCCTCTGTCCCTTTGTCACCCCCCGTCCCCTCTGCTTCCCCCTGCCACCCAGCCCCGCTGTCACCTCTGCCACCCTCGGTTCCCTCCACCCCTCTGTCACCTCCCCGCTTCCTGACACGCCCTCCTGTCCCTTCTGTCACCCCCGCGTCCCCCCCCATGCTGGGATTGTCACATCTCTTCAGGCTCCATGGCCACTGGGGACACTCCGGGGACCCTCTGGGGACACTCTGGAGATACTCCGGAGACACTCTGGGGACGCTCTGGGGATACTCCAGGTGACAAACACGCCCAGGTGACAGTTGGGGACACACGGGAATGTGGCACAGCCGGAGGGAGGAAGTAGGAAGAGGTGACGTCACTGTCCCCTCTGCCCCCCGGGCTGTGGGGCCAGGGCAGGGTCCCCAATGTCCCCAACAGGACCCCGATGTCCCCTGAGTGTCCCCACATGGCCCTGGTGTTGCCCTGATGTCCCCCACAAGGCACATGTGTCCCCCAATGTCCAGCTGGGGACACCAGGGCCACACCAGCGGCCTGTTGGGGACCTTGGGGACACCCCTGTGTCCTTCTCTTGGGGACACCGGGGCCACCCTGACATCCCCTGTCCCATTTTGGGTAACCACGATGTTCCCGATGTCCCCACAAGGTCTCTAACAGGACCCTGTTTTGTCGACAGTGTCCCCAACAGGACATCAGGGGACACTTGAGCCTTGTTGGGGACTCTGAGAGGACATTGGGGTCCCGTTGGGGACATTGGGGGGGACTTTCAGGGGCACCTGCCCTGTTCCCACGGGCGGGGGGACAGTGACGTCACCTCTTCCTGCTTCCTCCATCCGGCCGCGCCACATTCCTGCTTGTCCCCAACGGTGACCCGGGCATGTTTGTCACCTGAAGTGTCCCCAGAGTGTCCCCGGAGAATCCCCAGAGTCCCTGGAGTGTCCCCAGGGGCCATGGAGCCCCTCAAGGTGTAAAAATTCCGGAGGGGGGGGGGGGAGGGGACAGAGGGGACAGTGGGGTGACAGAGGGGACAGGGGGGCTAGTGAAAGGGGGCAGTGGGGGACAGCGGGGACACGGGGGTGGCGGGAGGGGACAGGGGGTTGCAAAGGGACAGGAGGGCAGAGTAGGAAGGGGGAGGGTGACAGAGGGGTGGGGGGGGACAACAGGAGGTGGCAGGGGGTGGCAGAGGGGAATAAGAGGGTGACAAAGGGACAGAGGGGACAAAGGGGACTCCTGGGGGGCAGGGGGCCACTGCAAGAGGCCACAAATGCCGCCAGGTCCCTGACACCTCCCCTGTCCTCTCCCCAGCTGTCCCCAGCCCTGCTGCAGCCACAGGTCACCGTGGTGGCCACCCTGGGCGAGCTGCTGGCCACCCTGCCCAGGCGGGATGAGATGATGCGGCTCTTCGTGTCCTCAAAGTGCCCATACTGGGACCTGGAGGAATTCACCAGGGTGCTCCGGGCCACCATAAAGTGCATTGATGACACCTGGTGGTGCCAAAATGTCACCTACAATGATGATGACTCTGTCACCTCCCTGAGCTGGGCCCTGGCTGCCTACAAGAGCACCTCATGGACCAACTGGGAATGCGTGAAAATGGCAACCATCATATGGCAGGCGTCTTTGGATGTGCTCATGGAGAGGTGGGTCGAGCTGGCCAGGAAGGCCACCAAGCTCCGCAACGCCTGGTGGGAGGTGGTCAGTGAGGCGGCTGACATGGCGATCACCATCACCTCCGTGGCAAGCTACCTGCAGGAGGAGGTTGCCCATTATGGGACAGCTCAGGAAAACATGGTGGAGCTGGGTCAGGCCCTTAGCGGGGAGGAGGGGACCGAGGGGGTGGACACGCTGGAAGCCCAGATGAGAAGACAGGCCAAGGAGGCTGCCAGTGAGGCAATAAGGACCACCAAGATGAGACAGCGGGTGGAGGCGGCCCTGGGGCTGCTGGAGCGCTTGGTGGCCGCGTGTGAGGAAGCCACCGCGTTCCCCTGGGAGCTGCAGTGCATGATTGGGGACATCGAGGCCACCATGGAGGGGACAAATGAGGTGTCCCCTGATGTCCCTGAGGATTTTGTGGACAAGGTGGCTGAGGCTGAGTGGCTGTGGGAGGCCAACACCCGCCTGGCAAAGGAGCACCTGCTGGGGACAGTTGATGACATCATCAAGTTCTATTTCGATGGTGATCCCGCCGGCCCCAGTGCCTGTGGGGTGACTGAGCGGTGCCAAAGAGCCATCGAGGACATCCCAAGGCTCCTTCAAGCCCAGGAGTGTCCCCAGAGTGTCCCCAAGGTGTCCCCAGTGAGCATGGAGCCCCAAGAGGTGCGAGGGGGGGGGGGTGTGGGGAGAGAGGGGACAGTGGGTGGGGACAGGGCACAGGGGTGGGGACAGGGCAATGGGGGATGGGGGCCATGGGGGCTGGCGGGAGAGTGGCAGCCGGGACAAGAGGCTGACAAAGGGATGGAGGGACAAAGGGGACCCCTCGGGGGCACGGCACCACAGCAGAAGGCCACAAGTGCCACCAGGTCTCTGACACCTCACCTGTCCCCTCCCCAGGTGTCCCCTCCGCAGCTGCAGGCACTGGTGGCCGTGGTGGCCACCCTGGGCAAGGTGGTGGCCACTGTGACCGGGCCACACAGGGGCAAGTTCCTGCATGAGTCCCCTGACTCCCTGCATGAGGACCTGAAGAACTTCACCCAGAACCTCTGTAAGATCCTGGACCACGGCGATGTCACCTCCCTGGGCCACCATAGTGTCCCCTCCCTGGGCCGGGCCCTGGCCACCCTCGGGGCCACCCCAGGGACAACCTGGGCCAACGTGAGAGCTGCGGCCGGTGCCTGGCGGGAGTCGGTGGCCAAGCTCGTGGACAGCTGTGACCAGCTGGCCGGGGAAGCCACCAAGCTGCGTGACGCCTGCAGGAAGGTGGTCATGGACCAGCAGCTGATGGTCTGCTGCAGTGCTTAGTGGCCTCGTGTGACAGAGCCACCTTGTTCAACTGGAACATGGAGTGCCGGCTCAAGGACATCGAGGCCATCCTGAAGGGGACAAATGAGCTGTCCCCTAATGTCCTCCAAGCCTTGGTGGCCAAGGTGGCCGAGTTTGAGTGGCTGTGGGTGGCCAGCACCCGCCTGGCCAAGGATCACCTGCTGGGGGCACTTGGGGTCATCGACAACATCCTCTCGAGTCCCTGTGGTGACCATGGTGGCCCCATTGGCCCCGGCAGCCGCATGGTGGCCAAGCGGTGCCAAAAAGCCATCGAAGACATCCCAAGGCTGCTGTTGTGGTGGTGTTTGTAGGTCCCAGGATGAGGGAAGAGATGAGAATCTGACTCCATTTTTTGGGCTGATTTATTGTTTTATGATATTATATTAAAAATGCTATACTAAAACTATACTAAAGAAATATAGAAAGGATACATCAGAAAAGTAGAAAAGAATGAATAATAAAACCCCATGACAGAGCAGAGAGTCCGACACAGCTGGTGGTGATTGGCCATTAATTAAAAACAATTCACATGTTTGGATAAACAATTCTCCAAATCACATTCCAAAGCAGCACAACATGGAGAAGCTGAAGCTTCCCAGGAGAAAAATTCCTGGAGATGGGATTTTTCATAAAATATCAGTGACATGCAGTGGGGACAGTGATGTCACTGGACAGACTTGTGGACACTCAAGTGCCACCCGCTCCTTGTGTCACCAAGAGCCCCTTAAGTGTCACCAGCTCCGCGAGTGCCACCAGTTCCTTGAATGCCACCAGCTCCTTGTGTCACCAAGAGCCCCTCAAGTGCCACCAGCTCCTCATGTGACCAAAAGCCCCTCGAGTACCACCAGCCTGGGACAGAAATGATGCCACTTGGCGGGTGGTACTGCCATGTCCCTGGTGCCACCTGTGTGCTGTCCCCATGTCCCCACAGAGGGGACACAAGAGGTGGCAGAGGGGACACAGGGGTGGCAGGAGGGGACAGGGGGTCGCGAAGAGACAGAGGGGACCCTGGGAGGTCACAAGTGCCACCAGATCCCTGAAACCTCCCCTGTCCCCTCCCCAGGTTTCCCTTCTGCAGCTGGAGGTGGTGATGGACGTGGTAGCCATCGTGGGCGAGGTGGTGGCCACCATGACCAGGCCATACAGGGGCAAGTGCCTGCGCAGGTCCCCAGACTCCCTGCATGAGGACCTGAGGAGATTCACCTGGAGCCTCCGTAGGACCCTGAACCACAGCAGTGTCACCTCCCTGGGCCACCGTGGTGTCCCCTCCCTGGGCCGGGTCCTGGCCACCCTCGGGGCCACCCCAGGGACAACCTGGGCCAACGTGAGAGCTGCGGCCGGTGCCTGGCGGGAGTCGGTGGCCAAGCTCGTGGACAGCTGTGACCAGCTGGCCGGGGAAGCCACCAAGCTGCCCACTGGCCCTTGACAGGGAGGAGGGGGCCTTGGCAATGGCTGCGCTCGAGGTCTGGGTGGTGGCGGCCACCAACAAGGTGCTGGTGGCCACCGTGGCCATTGGAGAGGCCGTGGTGGCCAAGAGCCAGGTGATGGTGGCCACCAGGAGGTGACGGCGGCCCTGCTGGAGCGCTTGGTGGCCGCGTGTGACGAAGCCACCGCCTTCCCCCGGGAGCTGCAGCGCCCGCTCGGGGACATCATAGACACCACGGAGGGAACAGAGGAGGAGTCCCCCAATGTCCCCAAGGCCTTGCCAGCCAAGGTGGCCATGGCCGAGTGGCTGTGGGTGGCCAACGCCCGCCTGGCCAAGGATCACCTGCTGGGGCCACAAGATGACATCAACAACATCTTCAGTTGTGATGCCAACAGATACAGTGCCCGTGTGGCGACCAAGAAGTGCCAAAAAACCATCGAGGACATTGTGAATCTGCTGCAGGGATGGTGATGTCACTGCCGTGACATCATGAGGCAGTGACATCATGGGAGATGTCGCTGCTGTCACCTGTCCTCTCCCCGTGCAGCATTTGAGACAAATTTGGGGAATTTTTGGGTAATTTTCATTGATACTGGCCCAAATCTTGGTGGGAATTTCTGGGGTGACGTCACTGGGGACACTCAGGGACACTCAGGAACACTCTGAGGACACTCAGGGACACTGTGGGGACACTCAGGGACACTCAGGGACTCTCTGGGGACACTCAGGGACACTCTGGGGACACTCAGGGACACTCAGGAACACTCAGGGACACTCAGGCACACTCTGCGACCCTCTAGGGAC